CCACGAGATCGCCAGCAAATAAACATCGACTTGGTCCATTAATTGCCTTCTGGTATTCGGCTTCTCTGGGATTTTATGGATCTATTTGGTACGTCCAACCCTCGCCTTCTGATTTATCTGGCACGTGTTTCCTGGTAGCGGTGTTCACAGTTAATCTCAACTCGACGCCACGCTACAATTGGTGATCCCAAAGTTTGGAACACGCCTCAACTTCTGATCAAATCTTCCAAAGAAGCCAATTCGGTGAGTCTATGATTTATCTATCCACGTCTGTCGTATATTTTCATATTTTTAATATATAATATACGCGACATGACGGATAACGATAAGAATAGTATTAATATAATAGACTCACACGTATGTGTACCGAATCCTTGTCACTTTTTATTCGCGTGATGATGAATTCCACGCTTTATTCGAGAAATGTTACCCTATTAACGATTCTCCTCGCTGACCCGGCTGCTTGGTACGGAATGCATACGCATAAGCATATCCGTCTACCACCCAGCACCAAATGGTTAAGTTGAACGGTTTCACTGCCAACTTAAAAGTGTTCTACGAGCACACGAAAACGGCAACTGGCACGAAACCATACCGCTCGTTCTTTTAGGGGCGAGAACGAGCTTAAAGGCAGATATCCAATGTTCCGCCACTGAACTTGTATACGGCACGACATTGCGTCTGCCCGGAGAATTCTTCACACCACGGAGCAGACCTAATTTCGGTAAATCAGACTACGTCCATCGACTGTCTGCATTTATGCGAACGCTGCCTCCGGTGTCAACTCGAATACAACATCGACAGGTCGCTCTCCCTCGAGAGTTATCTACCTGTTCACATGTTTTTGTACGAGTAGATTCGGTACGCAAACCTTGGCAACAACCTTACGAAGGCCCTTTTCACGTGATCGCTCGTCACGAAAAGACCTTCAAGGTTGATCGATATGGACGCGTCGAGATCGTCAGCATTGATCGTCTCAAACCAGCACACGTCGATGACAGTGCCCTATCTGACACCCTGAGATTCAATGCTAGACCTAGCAAACCTACTAGCGGGATCCTTAAATCTTCTTCAGGTCCCACGCTAGATGCATCTGAGACCTCATTCTCACGTCCCAGTCAACAGCACGCGTCATCTGCACCGTCTACGGACGAGACGACAGTCTCACGTCCAGATCAGCAGACCACGCCGCCCTTGACTTCGGATGAGATTGCAGGCTCACGCGACGCGAACGAGACTGCCGTCTCACGTTCCGGTCGCCGAGTACGGTTACCCGTACGCTTCCGCGAATAGTCGCACAGTCAACAACCGATACGGTGTAGGATTATTCCTATACTACACGTATGCTACACTCTTCTTTTTTTGATTTTCTTTTTGTTTCCTGAGCCCACGCCTTCGACCATCTACGTTTGGTTCCGTCGACTTCAGTCAACTTTGGCGAAAGCTGGATTGGCCACCCACGCTCTTGTCAACGTACTCAGTCGATATATTGGTTTCGAATGCTTGGCACACGCTTGGTCACGAACTTGGTCGTAACGGTCGCTTCTGGTCTTTTGGCTCAACGTGGTTTCGTCCTACGTCTGCAGCGTTTCCGGTGCGCACCTCTACGAACGCCCTCTTCAGATTCTGGATACAAACCACTCTGGTGTAGCATGCCAACTCAAGCAATAAATACAACACATCGCTCCTGGTACCGTTCTCCGATAACGACCTTCGTTGGCAACTCGACGATCAACGATCGCTTTCCTGTTCGCCAATTCTTCCGTCCTACAATCGCTCATCAGCCGATCAGTCCCACGATTCAAACCGCTATTTATCGAAAGTGTAAACCCTTTCTAGCGGGGGGCTCCTGTAGTGACTCACGTTTATCACGAGAACACGACTGGTTTAATAAAAACAATTATTATTACAACCAACTGTACCAGTGTTTGTTTTAACGTGCTTTTGTTTGACTGTGCTAATGACAGCTATTTTCTGCTTCCATTCTTTCGCTTACACTTTGATTGTAACTTCGCGCGAATTCGGTTACGTTCTGTAACCAAGCTTGTATCCTGGCACGATCTCGGTATCCTTTCGATGCCACGAGATCGCCAGCAAATAAACATCGACTTGGTCCATTAATTGCCTTCTGGTATTCGGCTTCTCTGGGATTTTATGGATCTATTTGGGTACGTCCAACCCTCGCCTTCTGATTTATCTGGCACGTGTTTCCTGGTAGCGGTGTTCATAGTTAATCCCAGCTCGACGCCACGCTACAGATCCATGGATAAATACCTGTTTATTAAACCTCCTCATAAAGCTATTCACTAAGTTGGCTGCGGTCACATGGGGCAGTCCGTAATGAGAAAAAGTGTGAGTGTACCTAGATGATCGCTCTTTACTATGTAATCCTTCAAAAATTGCCTTATGGTCATTTGTCATTAGTGACAGTGTATCCCATGATAGTGGTACGTGTGAATTTGTTAGCTTCCGCCTGAAATGCAAGGGAAAAGAGCCGATGATTGGTTTGGTTTACCGCAATTTAAGGTGTGAGGTAAATGAGGTCTTGCTAAAAAGTCTCAGTACTTGGTCACAAAGTGGTCGATGTCTAATCCTAGGAGACTTTATTGCACCCACGGTGGGCTGGAAAAATCCGAGAACTGAATTGTCAGAAAATTCCGTCGAGCAGGAACTAGTTGATGCGGTTGTTACATATGCCTTAGTGCAACATGTGAAAGAAACGACTAGGTACCACCCGGACTCTGAATCATCCTTACTAGATCTTATACCGACCCACTATGAGGATGGCGACTTCCATACAGTTGTCGAAAACGAAAACGTGTCAGCTCAATCCAGACATAACGTTTAGAAAGCAAATATACAAGACATCATACACTCCTCAATAGACTGGATAATAGACCCAGAGTCACCGATTGAAATAGCTTGAGATGTATTTCGAAATTTACAATTCGAAGTTAATGGACCTCACATCCCTTCAACTCCACCAAGGGAGCCGATAAACTCTCCGTCATGGTTCAGTAAGGAAGTTCGCACTCTATCCCGTAAGAGAAGAAAAATGTGTCATAGGTTTAGGTTACTGGGGCTGATGAGACAAAATCTCAATTTCGAGAAGCTCGGAATACCTGTGCCTTGACCCTTTGTAAGTCTAGAAGGTTGTACGAAGAGAAAATTGTCAGGGAATCCATAGAATGCCCTAAACGCTTGTTTTCGTATATAAACCAAAGGACGAAAAAGGAAATATTCCAGCATTATGAGGAGATAATACTGCTTCATCCTTGATGGAAGACGACTTTGGTAAAGCTCAAGTATACTTTAGCAATGTATCTACCATAGAAACACCCTTGCCGTCAGTCCATACAAACCCCACACACGCATTGGACAACGTGACCATTAAAAAACTCGATGTCTTTGGTCTGCTAAATAAGCTTGGCATAGGCAAATCCACGGGACCCGACGAACTTCATCCCGGGTTACTAAAGGAATTAACTAACTTCGTTGCGAACCCTTTGAGTATATGCTTTAATCTATCCGTAGCCAGTGGTCGTTTACCAAAAGACTAGAAGAACGCTATAGTAAGCCCTGTCTTCGAAACAGGTACGAAACATAAACATGAGAATTACCGACCCGTTAGCCCAACTAGTGTGGTTGTTAAAATTTGAGGAAGGATTATTCAAAAGAAGCTATTTTAGTACCTCCGTGGAAACCGGATCCTTTTGGAGAAGCAGCATATTTTTAGAATAGGTTATTCTCTTATCACTAACTTATTAGTAGCTCGTGAAAGCTGGTCAGCTCTTAATAACCAAAGGTTACCTAGAGACGTAGCCTACATTGACTTCAGCGGAGCTTCGGACGGAATTCTTCACAACCAACAGTTATATAGTATAAGAAATGTCGGGATTAGAGGCAATCTATTGATGTGGATAAAAGACTTCCTAGTTGGGCGCCAACAAAAAGCGCGGGTAAACTCCGAGTGGTCTAGTTGGGAAACTGTGCTTAGTGGAGTGCCTCAAGGTACAGTTTTGGGTCCAGTGCTATTCCTCTCATATGGAAATGACGTTTCTCGTCTCCCATCATCATCGATCTTTTTATATGCTGACAATGTCAAGATATGGAGAGCGATAAGAAGTGGTGGTGATAGGTTAGAACTAAAAAATGACTGGTCACAAACCTGGCAGTTGCCGATAAATACCTCCAAGTGTATTGTGATGTATATTGGTCAAGGTACAGATACATACATGATAAGTAGTATTGAGCTACCTGTTGTCCAGACACGCAATGACTTGGGAGTCATCGTTAGCCAGGACTCAAAGACTGCTGCACACTCTCGTGCGAAAACCGCCAAGGTTATTAGAACCCTATGGCCAATACCTAGGACCTCTAGTCATGTTGACGTCGAAGTTTTTTGACTTTTTCTACAGCGTTTGTGAGTCCTCAACTTGAGTAGCGAACACAAGGGGATAGCCCTCGCTTAAAAATTGACAGTGCGCTCATGGAAAAAGTTCCGAGAACAGCATCTAAACTGATTCCCTGAATAGCGAAGCTCCGGTATGCTGCTCAACAGGCTAAGCTAAATCTATTCCTATCGATGTATCAAAGGACTAGAGGCTGCTTGAATACAGTTTTCAAATTAATTAGTGATAAGTTTGCACCTGATATGCCCTCATTTTTCTTGTCTTCTAAAACAGAATTTACAAGAGCACTCCAAAAATGTTCACAAGCCCAGAAAAAATTACTTGCCAACTGACTATCGACTTTCCCACTGAATTATCAACGGGTGGAATTCATTACTTCAGAACGTGGTTGGGGATCCATCTATTAACGCTTTCAAAAGAGAGTTGGATCAACACAGAGTCCATCATTTCCAGGACTAACTCAGGCCATCAAGCCCCCTGAAACTGAAGCTGTAAGTACACTTTATGCAAAGGACGTTACTTCCCAGGTTTGGTTTTTCAATATCGTGGTTAGTATGGTATAACAGTTGTATAGTAAACACTTTTAATCATGCGGTTACCAAGACAACCGGCGCCTGCACGTGTTTAAAAATGAGCAATAAGAGTAGGGTCGTGCATAAAAAGCAGCTTGCCATTAAGAAGGTTATTATCCACAATTCCTATGATGTTTCAGATAAAAGAAGAGAAAGAAAAACAATTCTTCCTAACTGATGATAATGGAGACATCATACCTGGAACATACAGAACACCGGTCGGAGGTTTGAAGCTTAAGCTATTTTATAGCACATCTGTTTCCAGAAGTTAAAATTAAAAAAATTGAAGCATCAGGAAATTACGACATCGTGTCACTTGCGCGTTCAATGAACGACAATTTTGCATCGAGAACCAAAGAGTTATTTACCCCAGAGGTGGAAGCTGTTAAAGAAGCTATCAAAACAGGTCTTTATAAATACATATATATCGTCAAACGTTTTTAATATCCGATGAAGCTGCTTTCATTTCCGGTTCAACCCAACTTTGATATAATCCACTCAATAGTATCATAGTAAAATACAACATATTTTTCAGCGAGATGAGAAGGCTTGTTGGCATTTTCAAAAATTTCTGTTAGTTAAAATATTCAGCCCTTAAATTTATTTGAAGACCACACGTCAGGGATTCGATGTTCAATGTTTTTTTAAATAGTGTCACCAGCCTGTAATGTCTACTAAGAAAATTGATTTTGGATTCTAAATTTCTCAACCGGAGTTGGTTAATTTTACCAAGAATGTATTTCAGTCGATCACTTCTAGACGACAAAATCAATGGGGATATTGATTCCAAAATCACCTTTCAAAACATCGAGTGCATATGTAAAGCATCCACTCGATCAGAAATAAGATGGTTGGATACTATGGGATAACCTTGACTTTTCTAAGGAAACAAGAATATCCTTTTATCATCGTAGTTTTAACGCTTCCACATATTGCAGTATGCCTGTCCAATACTAAGTTAGTCTTTATTTATTTAAGACGCAGCCAAGATTGACTCCTCACTGACACCACAGAAAGCCTTAAAAAGAGATTGAAAGATTTCAGGAGCTACTGACCTGTAGTGAGTTGCAGTTTTAAGTTCATGACCTATAATAACTTGAAATTGATAAGTTTTGAGGGAGTCAGTTCAGAACTTTTCTAGGCGACTGACTCTACCACATTAGCATGTGACTATCAACTTCAATGATAGATTGTGTGATTGTAAAACTAAATAGTACATAAATGAAATGCTTAACCATATGAAGTAGAGTGAAGTATGATGGAGGTTTATAATATTATCAACATACTTGAAGTCCATACTGAAATCACATATCACAGGTAGATGGCGTTATTTCACATGATTTGAATAGGCTAATGTGATCAGTAAATATTGTTACGCGTATAACCTAAAACCATTGGTTCTGAATTTTTTTTATTAAAGAATGTTTCCAATCTCTGAATAATGTTTTTTTCAGAGAACTGCTTTTGAAACTGCTGGTATAATATTTCTTTGACATCAGTGGTTTTGCTAACTGTTCTCAATGGTCAAGCAGTATCATATATTTCAACAGGTTATATATATATGCTTGTATATAAATGCATTACTTGTCTTTCACCTGTATCAGTGTAACATGAGTGGTTATTTTTGAGCTAGATAACTTGATATTGAAGTGTTTACTAGGGAGGGATTCTGTTTCATTTCATGGACCGTATAAATTTTGAGATAAACATTAATAGTATGCATCAATTACAGTAAAACCTGTTGTACCAAAACGATGAGCTTATTAGCTTGCTAAAAACATAGCGCAGACTTGAGTTACATAGTTTAGTTAACATCAAAGACCAAAGAGCCAGTGATACCAATTATTCTATGGCACTTAAATATTGGTTTCACATGTGTATACGCTTAAAGTCTAGCCTTTTAATCCATCTAATATGTAAAATAATTAATCTAGCTAACGTTTGAGCAACTACCTTTTGCAGATTTCATACGTTTCCTTTCAAAATTCAACAAATTTTAAGGTATATATGTTGCATGGAGACCAATAGACAAACCTTGGAACCAACAAGATTGTCAACGTGTATGTTCCACTTCTCGTTGTTTTTGTGGACACTCTTTAAATCAACATGAAGCGTTTTCTGTGAATAAAGCATTCCCAAAGTGTAATCAGGTTGGCGTTCATTGTTTTAATTAATTATTTTTAGATTTGTTTTGTGCATAAATAACGTTCTGTAAGACTTTTTCACCTGTTACATAAGTTTTAAAGCACAATAATTGTTAAATAACCAGTAAATCAGGTGAAAAACAAAGTTAGACGATTGGTAGACATCTGAAGTTCAGTTTATATATTTTACAGATTTATGTTTCTTACATAAATGAGTCAGGAGAACATACAGAACTAGGTGAAATTCAAGACGAAGGAAATGTAAATTGAGATAATGAGTGTATTTATATGTAAAATTGTGATTAATTTTAAGTCATATCTCTTTGAGTCCTAATAAGAAAGTAGAGCGCTGCACATTCTGATTGATGTTTACGTGTAAGACGGCATTAAGACCCAAATTTAACCGCTAAACTGGGTTGTTACACTCACTAATTATCTCCCAAAAGGGAACGTCAACCAACGAGCCTCTCATTAACGTTCATGCATCTGACAAAATATAACTCTCGCTGAGGTAGAAATGTGCAATATGAAATAAAAATTACCTAGAAAGTAAGTGGTATTATGTCAGTTTGTACCTAACTATATCAAAAAATCACCAGATATCAAGTATTAACTCAGATCTTTTTGTATTAAATTGAATTGCTGTCAGTTATAATATCTACGAAATTAGTCACTGCATTTACAATATTGAAAATATTGACCACAGGGAATGTACTTGATGAGATCTAAATGTTGAAAATATGAGCTAAAACGGATATATCTATTAATTTCTAAATGTTTTATCAGTTATCTAACTTAGTGCGAAATTTTAAAGATTAAATTCGGTAACATTTCAGAAGATTATATGTCAATTTTTCACACCTAGCAAGTCAACTACATCATTTAGTAAACACGAATAACACAAAAAAGTTTCTTAATGATGACTAGTAGAAGTGTATATCTGTGGACGCTTATTGGATTCCACCCATTTTTCAACATAAACAATGTTCTATGTGTGCTAGGATTCGGCCACATTTATCTACTCTTCGTGATGTTTAATAATCTGATTATGAGCTGAACAATCAAAATCAGACATGGAATTTAGGGGCATTTGTTTTTCTCCCCGATTTTTAGTTGTTAATATTAATAAGCACTTCCATGTCGTGGTCTCTTACACTAAAACATTTATACATAGGTACCTCAATTTTATATTTGCATTGATATCAATAGTCGACCAAGGAATTTTGCTCTCGTCATCCGGTATGACGGTCAGATGCTGTCGTTAGTTTATTCTTCTGAATAAACATTATTATTTAATAAATATTATTGCCCTATGTAATCTAACTTATCACAGGTCTACTTTAAGCAAGTCAACCGAATGATCTACAAAGTAAGAATTGATTGTGACACATCGATTTAAGTATTTGCATCTAAAGAGAGAAAGGATGATCCTTCCCATAACTTGGCTTGTTTATATTATTAGTTTCACGTTCTTATTTTGTTCTAGACTGGGTGCTCATGCAAAGGGTTTAAGTTTGTTCCCAGTAGACCAGAAGAAGTTGGTGAATTTTGGTTAACTAGACGCAATGATTTTGATGGTAATTCGTATCGCGTTAAATGCAAGTGTAAGCATACTCATGAAGAACATGTGGCTGATCTCGTTCCTTATCGATGTAAAGTTAAAAGATGCAACTGTTCGGGATTTTCATCAGCTTTCCTTTGCGCTGCATGTGACAAGCACTGGCATGAGCATCAAACAGTTTTTGAAACTGAAATGGAACGTAAAGCTGAAGGACGTCCAGTTGGTAAGTTTAGATAAGTGGTCAAGGTTACTAGATGTTATTTTATCAGATGTTCAAGGTCCTGACTACGTTGTAAGGGAGTTGTATTATGGATATACTAAACCTAACTAAATATTGATTCCTCAATTGGTTTTCAAAAGTCCTAGCTCTTTTCTCAGGTGTTCGTTTATTAATAAAGAATGTGGTACTTTACCAATATACTTAGGTCACCAAGTTCATCAGATAAACGATAGCTAGCTTATTTTATCTGAATCCGTGTACTCATTTTTAATGTGATGTAAATAAGTATAGAGTGGATAAATTATATACAAAATATTATAATATTACAAATATTAAGTAATGTTCCAGATGAAATGTTGAAATGTTTTTTATATTTGATTGGTTATCTGTAACATTACTTTGGATAATGTAAAAGCATTATATTCTACAGTCATTCGAGTTCACTACTGATTCATACACTTATACACAATCTCATCTAGCTATCTGAAATGAAAATAAGTCCACAACTCACTTATAAATTTATACATATCTCCCTCAGAAAATTAAGTCAGGTTTCTAACCGGTAGCATAAATATATTTCCTAAGTTAAGCTAAGTCGTGACAAACGGTATGCGTCCGTCAGCATCTTCTATTTATCATTTGACTTATGTCTGATTAGGTTGGTGTATCATCTGTAACCCCTGCAAAATAAGTCTGGCTATTTGGATTAAGCCGTTTAAATCAAGGTGAGACTACAGGAAGTTATCTTTAGATCTATATTCCTACACAATTATTGATTTGACGTTGCATAGACTCAGATTGTTACTGCTTTTAGTTACTATTTATAAAGATAGTATTTAAGAATATAATTTGTTTAACCAAGCAATTTATTATTGTCTGATTTGTAAAATGAAACTAGCATCATATCGATGACAATTTTGTAACCAAGTAATATTCAGAATCCAATCTCAAACAAAGTTCGTTCATGATCTAAACATTTTGCTGGTGACATTTTTGATTACGACGCTATTATATATTCTGCCAATTAGTATTCTTCGGACACAATCCTTCCGTCGACTGGTTCCAACTTGGCGCACAAATCGGGAGTGAACAAAAATTATATTCTGAAAATCCGAACAGAAAAAAGTCGTGTGGTAAAGACGTTAACTCAAGCGTAAAGTTCTTCTCAATCCATCCACCGGCTCTAATTACTTAAAAATTAACCATTTAGAGTGTTCCTACTTGATCTTTTCTAAAGCACATATTAGTCAAGACCACCGTTTAGCTAACTGACACAAAGTAATGTGGGTTTTTAGCTTTTAAAGAATGACTTTGTGCAAAGTTTTAGATGCACATTTTTTGGTGAGCATCATCATAAAAGACAGTTAAGTTTTACAAATTTCTGATGATTAATTTCACATATTTAACAAAGTGTGCCATCACTTTTGTTTCATCAGTAGCCTTTGAACAACCTGTAAATAATTTTCTTGATATTTAAGTTTGTTTAATGAAATATATGAGAAAAGCTCTACTAAGTGTATTACATTGCATAAAATAAATATGTAAAGACATCACCGTAATTATGTAAAACAACCATAAAGTTGCTTAATTAACCAGTTCAAATTTGGAAAAGAACTGTGCATAATTTCTTTTTCGCTTACTGTTAATGCTGATGATAAAATAGATTGCAAAATGATCGCCCAGACCTGAATTATGTCCAAAAGGTTTTAAATTATGGTAATGCACTTTTTCTATGACCACTGGGTAGGTGTAGTGGTAGTAAATCAGGTAACAAAATAATACAATGACCCTTTGTAGTACAGGATAATGCCAAAAAATTAACAATCCATAGTTTTCTTTTAATCAGTTTTGAATTAGTAAAGTGTTGACTATCAAAACGTCATAAATGAAAAGTAAAAAACACATATAAGGCACTTTTAAGATTATCTCAACAATTTGTTATTGCTTTTTAGTATTTCAGACTTAAGTTTCATTGCTATTCCCGGATGAGTGGGGTAATGAGGTTTGTAGAACAGTTGAACATTCTTCTCTTGGAGAAGTCAGGATCTCAAATGTCCGTGTATGGCCTGAAGTAAAGAGGATATGTCTTTTCAGAAACACATCTATACAGTCATGAATTTATGGTTTGTATCACTAGGTTCTCTTCATTAACTTTACGTACCTGAGTTATCTACTGCAAAGAAAGTATATTACAGGGGATGTAATGAACTTGATTCGGATTCATGAATACATAGAATTTAGGTAGGTATGGTATAAATCAAAATTAGTGTCATACAAAAAAGATATATGAACCTATCTTTATCACTATCTATTATAAAAATGCATCTTTTGACATTTTCTCTTGCTTCCTATGTCGAAACTTTAGATTAGAGGTTCAAAGATGATTCTAGAAGTGCGAATGTATTCGTTTCTTTTTTTGTTGTCGTTGAAATTTTGGGCCTGGGTTTAATTCTATACTCCTTAATCACCCTACTCTATCCCTTTATTTCGATCCATATTTCCTATGTTTTAGCAGTTTCAATCTCTTTTTTGATGTAGTTTAATAAATTAGATTAGCGAATTTTTGCACCAGGTCCTAAGTTACTTATAGCTGATTGACCACTTGATTGATAGATTCAGGGTCTTACACTGGTCTCCTAAAAAGTCAGTTCGGTTTCTAGAAAATTTCCTGCATATGTTTCAAGAATCTTTGTCAATGTTGATAACTTTCAGACAATATGTATTTTTAAACTGTTGCTATATATAATATATCGTACGAAATTCTTTACCATTCATGAGTTTCAACTGAATTTGCATGTCTCCCACACTCGACATTCCCAATGAAACTCGAATTCAGGGCCTGTAGTCTCAAACGCCTACGCGTTACCACATAAGCTGATATGTATTATAATATAGCTTTATAAGGACTTATAGCTAAAATTAATATTCAGGTATTTGTTCAGAATGCAGATATTCAAACAGAGACCGATCAAACACAGTTCTAAATATTACTAACGCTTACAATGTACAAATACTTTAAATATATTTTCGGTTTTATGGAGACAATGGAGTCATTAAATTTTATAATTTATTATACCTTTTTTAATAGGTGAAGGATGGATTCCGTTTGCTGAATTACCAGAATTAGCTAAAATTGCACTGACTGGTGTAGATAATCCAGCTATTCAAACATTAACTGATGCTTTGTCAGCAAGTGCTCGTCAAAGTCTTCTAGAAAAACAAACTTTACCTGCTATCTCTGGATCAAAAGATTAAAAAAAAATGGCAGCATTAATAATAATGGCAATAATTTTAAAGTAAATGTTCTTTGAATAAATGTTTCAATTTTGTTGTTGTTGACAGAAATCTATATTTCTATACTACTTACTATTTTGATTTTCAGTAGTATTTGCAAATGAATATTTATACATATATATTTCATTTATTATGTGGTTTTAATACCCATTACTTCTATTTGCTTTTCACTGTGTTGTTCTCATTATTCTTTCCTTAAAATCATTTGAATGGATCCACTTCCTTTATCATGATTATTTCACCATTAATGTGATATACAATTTTTAAAGTATATTTTGCTGTTCAAGATAGATGGAAACAAATTCTTAATTTATTTTTAAAGAACTTGATGAAGTGAAAAGTATCAACCGTTGTAAAATCCTTTAATATAAAAACCTAAATGTTGTATGAGATCATGATTTAAAGCATATTAGAACAATAGCACCTATCTAACCCTCATTGCTTTTTTTTTCTATAATGGTTATTTAGTAAAAGTTAATTTTCTGACAGAAAACTAGTTTCAAAGAGTATTTTTTCTTGTGTGTGTGTGGCTTATTTCCATCTGTACTTTTTCATGTACTTTTCTTTGCAAAGATTCACTTTATATTTTTATGGTTCTTAAGTGGACTATTTCTTTCTTGAACTTTGTTCAAGCTGTGATTTATTTGTTTATTTATTTATTTATTTCTCTCCAGAATAAAAGATGATATAACTATTTATTTTTTGTTGTTAAAATCATGAGTCAATTGAAGCTAGACCACCATGGAAAACCTGGAAGCAGTGGACGGCCGTTTCGTTCTAGTATGGGACTCCCCAGCAGTGCGCATCCACGATCCCGCACCCCGAGAGATTTGAACCCAGGACCTATCAGTCTCGTACCAGGCGCTTAACCAACTAGACCATTGAGCCAGCATCCCGTGGTGTTAATGTCTAACTTCAACCAATCCACAAAATTGCGCGACCATCTTCCATTGTACTGAGGTAGACACCTGTTTCTACTCGACACGGATTAGCTACACTAGTTACGGCTTCTCAGAACATTTAATTTACCTACCGTAAAAATAAGATAAACTTAATGTTTTTATGATTGTTACGGACACATGAGAAATACTCCAAGTAACTTTGATATTCTGATCGTCATAGTTTCACTTTTTATTCAGATCACTATTGTTAACCACTGTCGTACAGTAAAAAACAAACAAACAAAAAACAACAACTAATAATCATGACTTATCAGTTCTTTATGTTACTTAGTAGTGAACAAGAATACGAATGAGGACAATTGAAAGTATTTGATATGAACATTTCAATAAAATCTGAGAACCATATAGTAAATAGTTAATTTGCAAAATATTAATCCATCGTTTCAAATTTGACTGTTCCTTTTGCAAATATCAGTCCATTGTCTTAGATTTCATTGTTCATGCATTTTCATACCAATTACGTTCCGTTCTCATTCTTTCCTTCTTGATCTTCTAGTGAAATACATTCTATACCTGACCATCGTTATATGCTACTTATATGAATATAAGTAACTCACACTACAACTTGACTTTAAGTTATTAAATTTTATACTTTTTTTCAGCTTATTAATTATTCTCGTAATTTTTTTGTGCACTTATTACTGTTCTTATCTTTCTTATTATTTGAACCATCAAATCGTGTACTAAGCTGAGAAAATAAATGAAGTTTTCTCCAATACTTAACTTTATTTCGCTTATAATTCGTGTCAGAGATGATTTATCCATCTATATTGATGCAGATATATTGCTCAATAGTCTTTAGTCTTATCAGAAATGATGTTAGCAGTTCATTTTTTTTAAATGATATGAAAAAGTCAAGATAGAAAGTAAAGTAAATATATTTGTAACTTACTTACTTACGCCTGTTACTCCTCGTGAAGGAGCATAGGCCGCTCACCAGCATTCTCCATCCAACCCTGTCCTGGGCAATCCTTTCTAGCTCCGTCCAGTTGTAATTCATCGTTTTCACATCTGCTTCTATTATCCGACGCAATGTGTTCTTTGGCCTTCCTCTTTTTCGCTTCCCTTCAGGATTCCAAGTTAGGGATTGCCTCGTGATGCAGTTTAACGATTTGCGTAATGTATATCCTATCCATTTCCATCGTCTTTTCCTAATTTCTTCTTCAGCTGGAAGTTGGTTTGTTCTCTCCCACAGAAGGCTGTTGCTGATGGTATCCGGCCAATGGATGTTGAGTATCTTGTGTAGACAGCTATTTATAAATACTTGTACTTTCTTGATTGTGGTTGTTGTAGTTCTCCAAGTTTCAGCTCCATACAGTAGAATTGCCTTGACGTTGGTATTGAAGATTCTCACTTTGATATTGGTTGAAAGTTGTTTTGAGTTCCATATGTTCTTCAATTGTAGGAATGCGACCCTTGCTTTGCCGATCCTCGCCTTTACGTCTGCATCGGATCCTCCTTGTTCGTCGATGATGCTTCCCAAGTATGTGAAGGACTCTACATCTTCCAGAGTTTCGCCATCAAGTGTGATTGGATTGCTGTTCTCCGCTTTGAATTTGAGGACCTTAGTTTTTCCTTTGTGTATGCTGAGGCCTACTGATGCAAAGACTGCTGCTACACTGGCTGTCTTCATCTGCATCTGTTCGTGTGTACGTGATAGGAGGGCTAGGTCATCTGCGAAGTCCAAATCGTCTAATTGATTCTGAGCTGTCCATTGTATTCCGTGTTTTCCTTCAGATGTTGAGGTCTTCATAATCCAGTCGACCACCAGAAGAAAGAGGAAGGGAGAGATAGGTCTTCCCGGTTTCCCACATTGTTCGAACGTTCCATGTACCTATAAAAATTTTTGCTCTGGTTGTTAGAAGGGGCATCGGCCTCGTGGCTTCCGAAGGAACTCGGCTTTCACCATGAAGCGTCATAATTCTTCTAAATGAAGACCTTCTAACTCCCAGGGCAGAGTTAAAATGGTTTGGATTATTTTTTCTGGTAAGCGTTTTTTTAGCGAGTTAGTTTTCTACGGGATGGGGACGCTAACCCCATGCCCAACCCTCCTCCTTTACCCGGGCTTGGGACCGGCAGCAAACCTATAAGAGCTACAGGCGGAGTTTGGTATATTTCCATTGTTTGATGTTCAAGAACTTAATCACTCAGTCTTTATTGGCATTTGTTCATCTTGTGCTGATTAATTCAATGTGAACATCAACACTGGGATATAATTGGCATATATAGTTGACGAGCTCCAAATAAAATGAAAAACAAGTCTAGGTTTCTACTGTCATTCATTATGCAACTTAAACAAAATAAGTGTGATTATTTTTACTTGATTGCTAAATTTATTTGACAATATCTTGGCTAATTTAAGTGACACGTTGATAACTTTAGAGTATAGGAATAGCAAATAAATATTTATTCAGCATAAATCCACAATAACGATGTTCTAAATATTACTGATGAATTCTAAATGGTCATAAAATACTTTCTGCATATCACATATCCGATATTATGAATATAAATATAATCCGACCAGGAACTTTGTGTGATCCAAGATAATCTAAAGATTATAATAAAAGCTGACGAGTAGCCAAGGCAAAAAGGTGATTTAATGAAATCCGCTTGTGTAGAAATCACCGTTACTAGTTAAAGGAATTTACGAACAAGGTTTCCATTACAAATCTACTAGACAAGATCGCTTATGATTTTACATATAAAAACTAGACTCTATACTACTGAATTAACACCAACATGTGGAAATTCTGCTGCATAGAGACCTGGATATCTTCTTCTCGTAATCAAATCAAAATGACCTAACTAATAGATTGTTGTTTTATAAGTGAGTTAATTAATGGTAATTGTTCACTTTAAACAAATAAAAAAAGAAGTGAGTAACCGACATCAATATAAATCAATAAATTCGCTTTAAAGACAGCTTATTTGTTAACTTTTTATGACGAAGTCATTGAAGAGTTTTGGTATGACAGCTCGTAGTCTAAAATTTAGACGTAATTGTACATAACTTTAGTTGTCTTTTAGACAACTGTGAGATAACGATGGAGATTTGTAGTTCAGCAGGAGGATCTTAAAGATATTTTGTTCTCTGAGCTAAATAATTTAACTGCAGAAATTTCCTACTCTTTCTAGACAACATCATCAACACAAACTTAAAATGAGGAAGATTATTATAAAATTTTCGATATGCGGTTTTGGAGATTGCTGAATTTCACTGAAATCACTGACCTATGTTAAACTGCAGCAAATACGAAGACAACTGGGGACGATCGAATGTATTTAACACAGCATTAGAGGACTTGTTAATAAAATCTAACAATCATATGATAAATGCTTAATTTGCAAAATGTTCATCAATTGTCTCAAAATGACTCAGACTTCATTGTTCTTGCATTTTCATAGAAATTTCACTTTGTTTCCAATCTTTACTGTTCTATCCTCTTGTCTCTCTGCTGCCAGACATTTTGTTCACGACTAACGTCATATACTACTTATGTCAATACACGTAGCACACACCACAAAACCACCATTGAGAACCTGGAAGAAGTGGACGTCCGTTTCGTCTTAGTTTGGGGCTCCTAAGCAGTGTCCATCCCAAGTGAGCGGTCGCGGGCATCAGCCAGAAATAAAACGGAATCTTCTCTAGAAAAGTTACTCAGCTCAGTAAATACAACACCTATAATTCAGGAGAAATTTCTTCAATATACTAAAATGATGCCAACTATAAATCAGACAATTTTTTTCTGGAATTGACATTCGTTATTCACAGTTTTTTATGCACATATATCAACTTTAAGTACAGACAAGAGGAAAATGATAAGTTTAGTTTGAACAAAGGTTTCTTGATAAAAATATTAAATGAAAATGGCAACTAGCTTTGAGTTAACCAATTAAGCGCGGGTCAAATATTTTGCCAAAACATATTAGTTACTTATAAGTAGTATGAAATATTAGACATATATTATGTTAGCTTTATTTCATCTTGTTCAAGCA